GCATTTGAAAAGGCATGTAAATCCATAGAACCTTTCACATATTTAATCCCAAGCTTGACAGTACCCTTAAGATATCGGAGGATCCTTTTTACCGCAATATAGTGTGATTCCATAGGTTTGTGCATGAATTGACACACCTGATGGACTGCAAATGCTATATCCGGTCTTGTAAAAGTGAGATACTGTAAAACACCAACAATGCTTATGTAAAGTGTAGGATTGTTGAATGGATGACCATCATCCAATAGCAACCTATTATATGGTAAACAAGGAGTGGCACATAATTTAGATTTTAACATCTCCGTTTTTGTAAGAAGATCAGTAACATACTTTGCTTGTGAGAGAAGCAAACCATCTGCCCTGTTCAATAATCTGAATCCCCAGAAAGTAATGGAGAGAGCCTAAATCCTTGATTTCAAACTCTTTGGTTAAAGCAGTAATAACATCATCAACAACAAAAGTAGCATTCCCAGTAATTATTACATCATCCACATATAATAGGAGAATCATAACTGCAGAACCAACTTGTTTCACAAAGAGAGATGAATCTGCATAAGTTGTATCAAAACCAAGAGATGGGAGGAAGCTAGTGAATTTTTCATTCCAAGCTCGGGGAGCTTGCTTAAGACCATACAGAGACTTATGGAGTTTACAAACATAATCTGAATGACAAGAATCAAGAAATCCAGGTGGTTGAGATATATAAACCTCCTCCTGTAAAACCCCATGAAGAAATGCATTCTTCACATTTAATTGCCGGAGTTTCCAACCAAAATTAGCTGCCAAGGCCAACACAAGTCTCACAGTAGTTGGTTTAACTATGGGACTAAAAGTTTCCCCATAATCAATGCCTTCTTCCTTATTAAAACCTTTAGCAACTAGCCTAGCCTTATATCTCCCAATAGTGCCATCAACATTCTTCTTAATCTTGAATACCCATTTACATCCAACCAAGTTTTTATGTGGAGGCAGAGGTACCAAGGTCCATGTGCCCTGAGAGTGTAATGCAGACAACTTTTCCTTCATTGCATGTAACCAAACTTCACTCTTTAAGGCTGATTTGTATGTGGCAAGTTTAACCATTGATAAATCTACGCCATCATTCTCATGTATTGTTGCTAAGAGAGCCATTTTCTTGGAAATTCCATTTTTTGACCGAGTTTGCATTGGATGCAAGTTTAATGGAGGAATAGGAAGAACCATTTGCTGTCTCTCTGGTTGGAAATCAGGAGTCACAGGGATAGTAGAGGATGATGATTGTTCAATTGCAGTAATGGATTGTGGTGAATGATGTTGTACTGAAGGATCTGGGATTGGTGATATGGAAGTAGGTAGTGTAGAATCTGGTCGTGTTAAAAGTTGTACTAAAGGAGACTCATGAGGACTAGAGTGTGATGGGGATGATGTGGGAGTATGTAAAACTAGAGATATAAGCACATTTTGAAAATTAGGAACTGGAGTAGGAAGGGACACTGTTATAGATGGTGGTTTAGACACTAGTAATTGTTGTGTACTAGCCAAAGATGAGTAAGGAAACTCCCTTTCATCAAATAGAACATGACGAGAGATAAAGACTTTCTTCCTAGACACTTCATAACAGAGAAATCCTTTGTATTTGGAAGCATAACCTAGAAAGACACACTTACTGGTTCGGGGCTGCAACTTAGTGGAGTTAAATGGTCGTAACAATGGGTAACATGAACAACCAAAAGTTCTTAAATGGTTAACTTCAGGAACAGATCCATATAAGACTTCAAATGGTGATTTATGATGAAGTGTTTGAGTTGGCATTCTATTAATTAGGTAGACAGAGGTTTGACAAGCAAAAGACCAGAAATTAAAAGGTAATTTAGCTTGTTGTAACAGGGTGATTGAAGTTTCAATAATGTGTCTATGCTTCCTTTCAGCCAGACCATTTTGTTCTGGTGTGTGAGGACAGGACATTTGATGAGTTATTCCCTTTTGAACCAGAAAAGATTGAAAGTGTTTTCCTATGCATTCACCCCCACCATCACTTTGTAATGTTTTAATGGATACATAAAATTGATTTAACACAAACTGATAAAAGGCAACAAAGATGGAATAAACAGCTGCTTTATTATTGATAGGAAAAATCCAACAGTATCGTGTACACTCATCTATGAAGGTAACATAGTATTTAAACCCTTCTATAGAGAGACAAGGAGCAGGGCCCCACACATCACTATGAACAATCTCAAAAGGTGTATTAGACTTTGACAAGGCAGAGGCAAAAGGCAATTTACTAAATTTTCCCTCTAAGCATATAGAACACAACACTGGAGAAGAATCAGGTTCTATATGTATGTTGGATTTCTTAAGAATAAGAGAGACTATAGAGTTAGAGGGATGACCTAATCTGCTATGCCATAGGCTGGAGCTAATTTGATGACCAAGGTATGCAGCAGCTGGAAAAATTGGTTTGATGGATGCAGGGCTTGTAGGAATAGGAATGAGGTACAATCCATTATTGCAGAGGCCTTTGAACAGTACTCTCCCTGTGACTTTGTCCTGAATCCAAAAACAAAAGGCATAAAAAATTAGCCAACAGTTGTTATCAAGGCATATTCTATGAACTGAGAGTAAGTTTTGAGTGAGTTTAGGTACACAAAGCACAGAATTCAACTTTAAGTTGTGAGCAGAAGTTTGTAAAACAATAGAGCCCACATGAGACACACTCAGACCTTCACCATTAGCAGTCTGAATCATTTCTGTGGATGGATATGGTGTAGCCAGAGACAAATTGCTCAGATCAGCAGTCATATGGTTGGTTGCATCTGAATCAGTAAGCCATACTTGCTGTGAACTCACTTGTTGTCCCAAAGTTGGTGCTGAAGCACTAACATGATATGCATTCATAGATGGATGAGAAGATGGACCATTTGAATTCCTAAACTGGCAAAACTGAGCACTATGGTTCATTTTTCCACAGATTTGGCAACCTTCAGGAATTAGAGATTCAGTATTCCAAAATCTACATGTATTAGCAAAGTGACCATATTTACCACATATTTGACATGGTGACACTTGAGAATTGGATGAAGAATATTGACCTTGTGGAGAAGAACCAAGAATCCCTCGAGTGGAATTGTTATAGAACTGTTTGCCATTGGCAAATTTAGAATTTGAACTAAACTGGAATTTCGCCTTTCCTTTATTCTTATTATAGAAAGGTCTATAACCAGAGGAGTTATAACCAGATGAATTACCATCAGAAAAACCGCTTGATTGATCTCCAGAATTGGAATGAGTCCCAAATTTTAACCCTTTATCATTGAACTGCATATCAGTATCTCTAGCTACCATAGCAGATATGAAAGGAGTAGCAGATACATATGCAAGCATTACTTCCTTAGCAAGTAGTTAAGATCGGAGGTCCTTAAGAGAAATTACATTCTCTCTTCCTCGAATAATAGACCGAATAGTATTGAACTCAGCAGGTAAACCATTGAGAGTGAGGATTACTATATCATCATCATCAAACTTCACAGCCGTAGCAGATAAGTAATCTCTAGCTTCTTTTATCCGTTGCAAATATAAAGAAATGGAATCATTACCCTTTTTGATATTCTGAAGTTCGGATTTCAATTGAAAGATACTGGTACGAGTCACTGTGGAAAATTGCTTTTTTAGGTGATTCCAGATATCTTGAGCACTTGTACTGCCAATAACACATGAGATAGCAGGTGGTGAGAGGGTAGCAGTGATCAACTGCATAAGCGCTCGATCGTGCATCTTCCAAATCTTGAAATCCTCAGATTCGACTTGGATGGATGAAATGCAAGAATTGACCTCCTCTGAACCACTGGATGCCGCAGCAAGAAACCTTGAAGGACACGGCATTGACCCATCAACAAACCCCATAATTCCATGACCTTCGAGCATCAATTGAACTTGAAAGTTCTAAGTCAGGTAGTTTGATTCATTAAGCTTGGCTGTCACAGAAGTAGAAACTGTGGAGATAAGAGCCGTAATCAGAGACTAAACAATTTGGAGCTGAGAAGATGTCACCATTGTTGAACAATTCGAATTTCAATATCTCAGAAACGTTTTAACAAACACCTGGTGTGCAAGAAACTAGATCTTGCTCGATCACTGCTGAAGAAGCACAAAAAAAACCAAAGAACTCAAGAAGAGAAGAATTAGGATCAGAAAGAGAGGAAAGATATAGAGCGGAAGCAATAGAACCAAGATCGATCACCGAGCGATTAGCAATTCCGGTGATGATACCATGTAAACCTTACTGTAATATGATGAAGAAGAAGAAATGAAGAGAAGAAGAACAAAGATAGCTTTGAGAAGAAGAAAGAGAGAGATATTCAATACTCAAGAATTTCATTCCATTTACTGTTAAGAACATTACATACTTATATTCTTTTACACAGTAAACCTTATCTCTTAAGCTATCTTGTAACTACCTAATATAACAACCTTTCTCATCTAATTACAAGTGGCATCTTATTAAGTATTGGATCACTATCCTCAACAGTTTTAACGAGGGCACATGAAATTACTCTGGAGTAAGTTCTAACCTTTTCGTACCTTAATTTCGTATTAATGATATATTCGACGAGGTATTAAAAAATACCACAAAATAAAAAATTAGTTTAGGCTTTTTAGCCAAAAGGGTCTCCGAGATTGGCATAAACACACAAGTGTTAGACGTAAGCAAGAACCGAAGGTTCGACTAGTTGGCCTGGAATCTCTTGCATTTCAGGACAAGTGATTGGTTGCCGGTTTCCAATAGCATTCAAGGGGAAGAAAATTTAACATATCTTTACCAAGGAGTCAAGGACGGGTCGATGCTTCTGATCCCCTATATAAATTAACCCTCCTAACCCTTTGTTTTGCACAAATCAGCTTCCTTAATTAACCCTAGCTACAAGAGAATAGGACGAAGAAGGTACGTGTTTCATTTAGTTCAACATGCATGCGTGGCTACATGTACGACCGGATACATATAATTCGGATACAGAATTACAGGTTTGTAAAGAAGGTGACAGAAGAAAGTGAGCACACGTGGTTCTTTTCTTGCATGAATCCATGTCAGAAGCTCTATGTGTTCATTCTCTATCTGTCACCTACCATCCTTAACCCTCTCTCTCACTACTCTCTCTCTCAACTACATATAAGATGATACACACACACACACACTATCGTTTGATTTGTCAGAACAAGATATGATACTTAAATCCTAAAATGCAAGAGATTATCCAATAAGCACCCCAAATCATGTATGTCAATAATTGTGCACCCCAAATCATGTATGTCAATAATTGATATTAAAAAACTAAATAAAATTTAGTGGGTTTGGTGAGGTATTTTGGATAAGTCCATTTTTAATTCTGGCATTAGAAATAATTTTCGCTCGGTACGTTTTATTTGTATTTTTATTTTTAAAGATGATCAATTGGTAGCTTCGCCACGACAGTTCATCATTTCGGAACATAGGAAGACTCATAGAGGCATTGCAGTCTTTCCTGACCATATAAGCACTAATCTCATACTTAGTTTAATCATATTAACACTAATCTCATACCTCCTTTTACCATTAAACTAACCACCAAATATTAATCACATGCGCCATGAGTGATTAATTAATTGTTTAGATGTTAATCAATCTCTCACACCATAAGCAATCCAATAATTTAGCCAAATGCTACCTTACCTGCAGCCCTTTTAAGTAAAACTTGTGATATCAAAAGCCTGAGAGTATCTCCTCTCATACACAATTCATCCAACACATGGAGAGCAAAGATCAGAAGAAACTTCACATAGCCATGTTCCCATGGCTAGCCTACGGCCACCTAATGTCATTTCTGGAGGTCTCCAAGTTCTTAGCTCAAAAGGGTCACCAAATCTCCTTCATCTCCACACCCAAAAACATCAATCGCTTCCGATCCTCCTCCCTTTCCCCTCTTATCGATTTCATCGAGCTTCCTCTCCCCGCCGTCGACGGCTTACCGGAATCCGCCGAGTTCCGAGCTACCAATCAACAAAGTACCTTACCTCAAAAAAGCCTACGACTTGCTCAAGCCTTCAGTCACGCATTTCATCCAACATTCGGGCGTCAACTGGGTCGTCCACGACGTCATTTGCTACTGGCTTCCCCGAGTTGCCACCCAGCTCGGAGTCAACTCGGTATTCTTCAGCGTCACCAACGCCACTACCTTGGCCTTTTTCGGTCCTCCGTCCGAGTTACTCAGCGACAAACTCCGGCGGCCAGAGGACTTTACGGTCGTCCCCGAGTGGGTCGACTATCCTTCCAACGTTGCTTTTAAGCTGCATGAGATGGTGAGCCACTGGGACTGCATGGAGGACGAGGTCTCTGATTTTCAGAGAGCCGCGCGTGCGATTCAAGATTGTAATTTTGTGACTATGCGGAGCTGCACCGAGTTTGAATCTGACGCGGTGAGTCTGCTCAAGAAGATCTACGGCAAACCCATTGTTCCACTAGGGCTGCTGCCGCCCGACTCAGCGCCGCATCAGCATGGCGTCGCTGACGATCGATGGGATGAGAAGTGGGAAGTGTTGAGAGAGTGGCTCGAAAATAAGAAACCGAACTCGGTGGTTTACATCGCATTCGGCACTGAGGTGACTCCTAGCCAAGAGTTGATGCATGAGTTGGCACATGGGATAGAGAAATCCGGGTTGCCCTTTATTTGGGTGGTCAACAATCGCCCGTTGGTGGAGGGTGTGTTGGGGGCCGATATCATTCCACCCGGGTTTCAAACTCGAGTGGAGGATCGAGGCTTGGTCTGGAGGGGTTGGGCCCCACAACTTAAGATTCTGGATCATGCATCGGTCGGAGGTTTCCTAACTCATTGTGGTTGGAGTTCAGTTGTTGAGGCACTACGGTTTGGGCTGGTTCTGATTTTGTTTTCAGGTGCTTATTCAGACCAACCGTTGAACGCGAGACTAATGCACGATAAGCGGGTGGGGTTGGAGATACCAAGGGACGAGCGAGACGGATCGTTTACGAGTGACTCGGTGGCCGAGTTGATTAGGCGAGTGATGGTGGAGAAAGAAGGTGAGTCAATAAGGTCAAATGCATGGGCCATGAAGGAGATCTTTGGCAACGTAGAGTTGAACAAGCAGTGCTTCGACGAGTTTTCTCGGGTCCTTGAAACCTGGCCAATTCCACCTAGTCAATGAGAAAATTTTTAGTGAAGAAAAGAAAACCGCTCAATATATCAAGTATTATAATAAAAGTTGTTACATATTTGAAATTTTCCAACTAGTTATATTGTGATACTTATGTACTAGATTTTGTTCCGGACATACTGGAAAATATCTCCTCTCTCTCTCTCTCTCTCTTCAAGTCTGCTTTCTCTGCAACCAAACCCTCACCCTAACCATACTCAGTTTAATCAACCAAAACACAAAAAGAAAAGAAAAGAAAAAAGTGGGGTTGGTCCAACCTGTAGTGACATCAGCCTCCTCAAAGAACAAGAACATGAATTCAAAGAACACAACGACCAAACCTCCTCAAAACTCATGTACCAGTTATCCCATATATCTTATTTGTTGAATTCAAAATTATATATCTTACAACTCAAATTAACAAGGAAGGTGCTAAAAAATTAAAGTTACATACCATCACTAGTAAAAGGTGATAAGTTAGGACTAAATAGTTTATGAATCCCCAATGCTAGATGTGTCACCATTCCTTTTTTCTAGAACATATAAAAATCAAGAACTCATTAGAAAATAAGAAAGCAAGCATGCAACAAAACAAGAGAAAAAACAAAAACAAAGTAATGAAAAATAAATATTCATACCTGTTTCAAGTGCTTCATAAAACTCTATATCTGCCAAGATTGTCTCATCGTCTAAAATTGAGATGTTATCGGACATCAACCAGTTTTGAGTACAAATTAACATCTCTACCATTAGAGGAGTCAACGAAGAACGATATGAGTTCACAATCCTTCATCCCGTGCTAAAGGCAGATTCTGAAGCTACCGTTGAGACCGGAATTGCAAGAACTTCCTTTGCAATTAGTGCCAACACTGGGTATTTAACACTATTCAATTTCCACCAATTTAAAATATCAAAATCTTGACCCACTTCCACTTTTTCATTGCGATCTAACAAGTACCTATCAAATTCATAGTCCGAGAGCACGGCATTACTTGCTTCAACTTCTTTTATCCAACTTTCATCCATTTCTGCTCATTTTTCCCCCTTCCATGTTTTTTTGGATCAGCCCCACCAATAGTGGTTGTAGTACTAGTAGTATTAAAACAACTATTAGCACTAGAACCACTTGGTTGGTTAGAAGAAGGAACATACTCATCATATAGTTTGAAGACTAAGCTTTTTATCTCATCCTTCTTAGCCATGGCTTCATCAATACTACAACCATGACGCTTCAAAATATGTGGCACATAGCCCAATTTATATCTTGGATCAAGCACAAGTCCCACAAACAGAAAAGGATTCACTTTAACAAGATCACCCCAATACTTATCAAATTTCGCCTTCATACTTAGTGCCATTTCATGCAATATCAAACTTGTGTAGGTTTGAGTTAATAACATATCTTCTTCAACAAACAAATCAACTATTTCTTTGTCAATTACAAGCAAATCAGAAAAAGTACTATGACAAGCCGGATGTAAAGTAACACTCATCTTCAATGTTATTTGATAGAACACTTTCAAAAAATTGACAAAGATAGCGGCATTGCTCCAATCTTCCATATTTGGTGGCCAATACCTCTTTTTACCATTGAAGGTCTACCCACTCGTTCTTCTTCTCCCGGCACATCTTCACCAAACCATGTTCGAATTCCACCTAGTTGGCACATCTAAAAAAACAAGACCTTTGCATTCAATTTTCTCCTTCTTAACACAACTCCTAAAAGTTTCCACCCTTTGTGGAGAAGACGTTACATAGACCAACGCATTCCTAATAGCTAAGATGGATTTATCTAACGTTATCAAACCATCTTGAACTATCAAGTTAACAATATGAGCACAACACCTGACATGCATATGATTTCCCTCAAGTATCATTCGTGAATTTTGCCAATGACACATCTTTGTCTTCAAATAATCTATTGCCACCTTGTTTGAAGAAGCATTATCGACCATGATGGTTAGTACATTCTCCAAACCCCATTCTAGCAAACAAACCTGTTGACCCTAAAAACTACCAAGCCTACGTGGCGCGCAGGCCGAGTAATCTATAAGCTAACTACGTCATTCGGTGAATGCGGGGCGTGCCAACTCGTCGGCTGAGCTCGGCCGATGAGTAAATTTGTTGATGTTGCGTTGGGTGCGCGACTAACTTTTGCGTCTTGCGATTGCGACCGAGGAAGGAACACGTCTCGGCCTCTTGGGTTCTCAAACCTGAAGACAAGGCTACTATTCTACGAAGTTCAATATCAAACTCGGCTTTCAATGTGCCGAATGTAATAACTTGTAACACCTCACTTCGCCGAGAAGGCTGATGAGATGACCTCGACCAACAAGGATTCGGAAATCCTTCTCGACCGAGACTTGGATAGGTAACCAACCGTCCTCGTCGCAGTGCTGTTGATGCCAACGGAAGATGCTGCGAGATCGGCTGATTCTACGGTGACAGAGCTATCTATTCCGACTTAAGATATCACCGGTTGCTTCCACAGTGCTGTTGATGCCAACGGAAGATGTGTCAGCGAAAAGAGAAAATAAAAAATCTCAAGTTGTTGAGAGTTTGCGCAGGGCAGTTATGTGTTGAATTAGAGGTCCTCTAACCATTGTCTGCGACTTTGTATTTATAAGTAGCATCCTCATCCTGACGGCTCGCGTTGTAAAGCTGCCGCCAACATCAAAGTCCTCATTCATAACAATCTCATGCAAAATAAAAGATTGTTATCACTTACCAACACGAAACCACTTTGTGCTAATTAATAGCATATTAGCATATACCAATTAGTGTTGATAAGCATCTTGACTTGAAATAATGATATGCATGCATGGCTCCACCAAATCCACTCACACGTGGCTATCCATCTCCAATTTAACATCTTCATCTTCATGCAAGCATTAATATCTCTGTCAATGCCCATTTGCCAACAATGCAGTAGTGTATTAGGACTCTTAATAACGTGCTCTGATGCTCCCAATCCACCACGCGTCTTAACTCCAAGAATCCCAAATCAAATTGAATTACATTTGCATCTCATCTATCTTGTACAAGAAAATATCAAGATAATTCATCATTAAAAATAATTATTAATGATAAAAAATCATAATATTATCCTTTAACAAAAATATCTTCACTTTTCCATCCGACGGTCGAGAACTATGCTTACTCAACGGCCTTGATTACACGGGCCGATGGTGTAAATTTGGGTCCAAACAAAACCTCAAGAAGTTTTCCAATGGAGTTCCCCTTGTGATTAGCTATGACACAAAAGTTTAGTATTCTTTTGTGCAACTTCCAATTACTATCTATGAAATGTGCCGTTATCACCATGTAGTTTACCTTTTGAAGACTTGTCCATGTGTCGGTTGTGAGGCTAACTCTGTTTTCAATTTTGCATTCATTTCATCAGACATGAAGACAAAGTGTCTGTCAAGTGTCCTACGAGATGGTGGATAAAAATGGGGGCAAACAACACTACAGAAAAACCTAAACCCTCTCCCTTCAACATGTGAAAACGGCAACTCATCTAAGACAACCATTTGTACCAACGACTTTATGCAATCTTCTTTTGTATTCCCCCTAGCCATAAGAGTACCAACACCATCATCAAAAGACAAAATATTTTGCCTTTTATCCTGATTTATTCCCGGATAACTCTTACATCTTCCTCCCTCAATATGTTTTGTAA